TATATAAATAATCTGAATTATTGTCAGCAAATAAATATATGTAACTGTTAGAAATATTGAAATGAATTATATATACATATATATATATAAAAGAAAGAAAAAATAAATAAGGAAAAAACAAAGAAAAATAAAAGATAGGAAAAGAAAAAAAGAAAATATAAAAATATTTCTACCTTTACACAAATACCACATCCTATACAGAGTTCTTCAGAAATAGATGCCTTTTTACTGTATGGAGTTACTTCTATACAAAGTTTCCCCATTCTCACTACAGGACATGATCTTTTACATTCTTGTCTACATCTTTTAGGTTTACACTTGTCGGAGTTTACAATAGCTATACGAGTCAATCGATCAGTTTCTTCCATAGACTTTTTTGGTGGCATGATGTCGAAGATTTACTTGTCCTTATGCTGCTGCATAAAAGAATAAAAATATTTCAGATATTTTTCATAACTAGTTATAAATTTCTTCAAATTCTTCTTTACCAATTGATTATAATTAACGACGCTTATCGAATAAAAAGCAGAAAATATGATAATAAATATTAATAAATATTAATTTGATTATTAAAAAAAATTTTATACTTTAAAGAAATAAATTGAAATAATTATTTTATATATATATATATGTGTGTGAAAGCATATTTATTAGATGGAATGGCATTCTAAAGATTACAAAAATATGTAAAGCATGTTACAATAAAAACTTTAAAAAACAAATCAAGATTTATTAATTACTGATATCCACTAAAATGTTAATTACTGAGAAAACATAAATACTTTTTTTTATTTATATTACAAAAGTAATAAATTATTATCATTAATTAATTACATGTATCATAAAGAAAATCTGTTAGTCCTTTGACCATGAAATTCTAACCTCATTTGATTCATATAAGATATAATACTTTCAAAATATATCACTTAAACATATGTTCAGAGAAATTATCTAAAATATAATAATTATTTATAATTATATATAATATTAAATAAAATGATATAATATTGATATATTTTAAAATATACCTGTCAAATTGAAGAACGTGGAGGTGACTCCTTGTTAAGCCTTTCAAAGGAGTTCCGAACGTTCACGTTACAGATGCTTCGACTGAAGTCATAAATTATAGAAATAATAGATTGCATTCGTTACGAAAAAATATGTAATTCTCAATTATTAAAAGATATAACATATAACAAAGCGATGTTAACATTGATTGATAAAAAAATAACTAATCAATAAATACGATCTAAATAATCTAATTGGATCGAATTAAAAATCGATAATGGTCGATAATATTGATAACAAGTAATCTACCATATCGACGAAACTTGTTCCAAATAAGAATATAAAATGAAAATACAAAATATTTTCGTTTTTGTTTAACAATGTAGACATTATTTATTTTATTTTTTATTTCATTTTTAATGTTGATTTAAATTTATTTATATTATATTAGATGACTATATTTGAAAAATCAATTGTTCATTTGAAACTTTATAAAAAAAGAATGGCCGATCTAATAAAAATCCTCGTTTAAAGTTTTCGAAAATTGCCGCTTGGTGTCACTGTTCGGTGTTAGGAACGATTCCTGTTAAAAAAATAAACTCTCCCTTATTAACTAATTATTTATTTTTTTAATCTGTAAATAATATTTCACGTGAATCAAACAAATGTTCGTTTGATAGAATAAAAATGTGTATTGTTTTATATTGTGCTTTATAAAATGTGTATACATTCGGTGCTTCAATAATTTTGTAGAGATAGAGAAATAGAAAGAAAGAGAAAGATAGAAGAAAGAGGATAGAGTAAAATTGTTATTTATTAAATAACATTTCAATGACAATGTTAAATAAAAGATGAATATGAAAGCAATAAAAACGATGGATATGACATTGCCATTTGCATTGAAGCAAGAACATGAGGTTAACGAAGATGAAATTGACGATGACGATAGTTTGAATGAACTTGATAAGATCTTGTCTATGCCACTACCATCAATTACTGGAAATAATTATCTCTTACCTTCTACTCCTAATCATGAATTCTTACGACTTACTGCAATGGCATGTTACATTTTATTATAATATCTCATTATAAAATATATAATATATATATATATATATATATATGTATATATGTATATATATATATTCTTATATATATATATGTTTATATAGCAGCATGAGCATGTTTGAAATTAATTAATTCAAATTTGATCAAATAATAGAATAAAATTAAAAATGAGATGTATATTTGAAACAGGTACGTGCAGTATACTTCTCGTATCTTCACAAATGTTTACTTAGTAATTACATAGTATGTTACAAACAAAAGAATCAAGAGACTTTTAATTGTGATTTAAAAAAGTGCGCGGATCAAATGGAACTGAATGCTGTACGATCTTCTTTAGAAGCTTCATTGTATAGACAACATATGCTTAAAATGGTAAGATACCATTTTTGAGAGAGAGATTATATTCCATTGGGATAGTGTGTGTAATTATTTTTTAATAGATTTCAGATATTAAATCGCACACCTCTCAAAAAAAAGTATATAAACAGTTAGTTATGCTTTTAGAGACACCGTCAAATAAAGTTGACGTAGGTGTACAAACTAATAACCTCTGTTTAAAAAATAATCTCTGTGATCAACATAAAAGTAATACTACACAAGACGCTTGTATTACGTCTAACTATGAAGAATTATTTAATGTAAAAGAAATATTATCTATGGACAATAAAGTCCCTTGTATAGAAGAATCAAATGTTTCATTGATGCAAGACAATGCAAGTGTTAAAACTCTTTTATTAAAAGAAGAGGATACAGACAAATTGATATTCGATGAACAAAGTCAAGAGACGACAATTTTTACACAAACGGTATCAACAGGTAGTTCTATTCAACAACCAATAGAGTGTGTTCAAAACGATGATGAAAACTCACAAGATTCTCTTTTGCAACACATGGAAGATATGTTTTGTGAGAGTGATGATAGTAGCGATTTAACAACGTTAATCGAAAAACATTCTGGCGTAAGTAAGGCTAGTGTTGATAAAGAAATCAGTAAAATGAGCTTAGAAAGTGATAATAACACTTTAACATCTAATTTCAAAAAACATATAGAAGAGAGTAATAATATTCCAAAGAGTAATGTAAAAATGTCTAATACTGTTCAAGGAAAATTTAGTTTTAGTTATTATAAAGAAATGAAAAATAGAGCAGAAAAGCCAATGGAAATTAACAAAGAAGAGACAATAGAGTGTAAACAAGAAACAAGTGAAAGTAAACAGAAGAAGAAAACTGATGGTATTTGGTTCGTCGAAAGGGTACATCAGGTTTCGAAATTAAAAACTAAAATGACAGAATTGTCATTAACGAATTATCGAAAGCATGGTAAAATAAAAGAAAAATTCATCGAATTATTTGGAGAATCTGAGGAAGAAGAAATGATGCCTGATTCACCGATTTGTATAGAAGAACATTTGACTGCTTGCAAAGAAAGGATAGCACCTTGGATTGTTAAATATCTTATGCCGTTTTATAAAAAAAGACGAATTAAAGATCGTCAATTGTTTAAAGCTGTAGCTAAGCATATTGCTGATATGCTTATTATTGAAAATACATTTCCTGGTAAGATATCACATATTGATATTAAATCTTATAATATTATCTCATTTTTATAAACATTCCTAGTAATAATAATAATAATAATAATAATTTATTAATAATTTTTCTCTGTTTTAATTTTCAGAAGAAAATTGTGTTAACAAATACATAGACAATTATTTCCGAAATAGAAAATTCATTAGGACAAGTCAAGATATATATATGTAATAAAGAAACAAGTGTATCCATTTCTGAAACACTTTAGAAATAAGAAAAAAAAATACATTTATAAATTATTATATATCGCCATATGAATGGACATTATTTCTTTCTTTTTAACGATTATTAATGTTAGAAAGATTTGAGATATTTTTTTTTGTTTTTTCTTTTAAGACTGATAAAAAAATGAATATGTCATTTTAAGGTATATTTATCGAATTAATACTCATATTAGAGAGGAGGAAAAAAGAAAAGAAGAAGAAAGAAAAAAGAAAAACGAAGAAGAAAGAAAACAAAAAGAATAGCAAAAAAGATGTTTCTTTAAAAACATTTTCAAATCTGCTGTGTGCACATGTAATATTTGTAAAGTTAATCTTATGAATATTAATAATTAAATAATTAGAGACAAGAATTATAGCACATGTATTCATTTGATTGTACCTGCCTAAATATTATATTCATTGTATTTTAAATATTTCTGAAAAATAATATTAATAATAAGGGGGCATTATATAAAAAAATTAATCACTTTACTCTCAATTTCCAAAACAATATATCAATGACAATAAACGTAATAGTAATAATAATAACAATAGTTACTTTATTCCATTTTTGTTGAAAATGAGAATTTTAAACACAACAAAGAGATTCAGAATATTGAGACGTACAAATGTTTTCGAGAATATTTTTAGCAAATAGATATTTATATTATATTATCTTTCATTATTATTTTAAAAATTGAATTATTTTGACTAAATCATTATTTAATTACTAATTAAAAGGAAAATTCGTATTTTAGAATATACACATAATTTGTACATAAATTATTTGGGGAAAAAAAAAAAAAAAAAAAAAAAAAAAATATATATATATATATATATATATATATATATATATATAGATTCGTACAAGTTGTCCATCAAAATATAATTGGTAGAAACAATATTAAAACTCAAGTGTAGAAACATTATAAACAACAAGATATATTACAATAATTTCATTGCTTAAAAGTGATAATATGTTTTGAAGTTGCAAATTTCCAATGAAAGTACGAAAGTGCAAATTTAAATCAACTAACGTTAATTATTTCTATGCGTTTGCACCTTTCTACCGAGCAACTTGTACATAAATACCTTTTTCTTTTTTTTTTATTTTATTTATTTTATTTATTTTTTTCTCTCTTTTTTTTTTTTTTTTTTTTTTTTTTAACTTTTTTTACTTCCACAAGCCATATTTTAATGAACAGATATTTGTGCACCAAAAATTATGCAAAAAATGTAACAATGCTCTGGTGCTCTCTCTTTCTCTCTCTCTCTCTCGCTCTCCCTCCCTCTCTCTCTCTCTTTCTCTATATATATATATGCACAAATTCTGTCATTTTTTTTTTAATATAGTGATTCATCTTCGTAATTCTTTTCTTGCCTGATGTGTAAATTATTATTATATTTTCCTTTATTTCTTTTTTGTTCTCCTTTTTGAGATCGTGTATAGTTCTCTTATAAAGATAACTAATATTTACTTTTGATAAAAGATCCTTCGCGAATTTTACAAAACCGATTTAAACGTAATTATTTGAAAACTGAGAAACTTTATTGAACATCACAGCACTGAAAAAACTCATATATTATAAAATATATACATATATATATATATATATATATATATATATATATTTGTGTGTATGTATGTGTGTATGTGTATATATATATATGTATATATATATATATATACAGAGAAGGATCTCTTTGAATCTCTCAATGAAGCATTATTAAAATAATGAAATATGGCTTAAATATCAAAGACTGGGTGAAACATACTTGCGATTTGTCTTAATATTATTACTTATGTATTACGTATTTTCCCAGGTACGTAGTTCTTGTCTATTACAGGTTCTTGAAGAAACAAATGTAAACATCGCTCATTTTGTGCCAAGGGATGTCCAGCTATTCTAAAACGTATAATATACATATTTATAAAATCTCTTTGACTTATGCTTGACTCATTATTATTATTATTATTATAATTAAAAAAAAAAAAAAAAAAAAAAAAAAAAAAAAAAAAAAAAAAAAAAAAAAAAACATTTCATAATACTTACTTATTAACAAATATCTCTAAACCTTTCCTTCGATCCTCTATGAAATCTTCCTCAAAAATTCCATCATCTCCTCGAAATGGCATTTGACGTTTCCATGCCTTTCCAGGTAAAGGCGGTACAACAATCTGAGCATTCAAAAAAAAAAAAAAAAAATAAATAAATAAATAAATACATAAATAAAAATAAAATGAAGATCATGTTACATAACATTTACTTTATATTAATATCATTGATCATTATGATTAATAATTTTTAATAAATTGACATACCTTGCTGTCCCTTTCCAATTCGTTTCTAAGCCATTCAAAATCACTGTATCTTCTTCTGACTGTGGAGTCTTTGACTTTAAAGACTGGTAGGTTTGTCTTTAAAATAAGAGAGAGAGAGAGAGAGAGAGAGAGAGAGAGAGAGAGAGAGAGAGAGAGAGAGAGAGAAAGAGAGAAGAAAAAAAAAGAAAGAGAAAATTAATTTTAGAAAACACTAAAGAAATAAGACAAGAAGCTTTTAAATTAAGGATAATTAAGATCATAATACAATATCAGTTTGTTATAAAGGAAAGAAATAAAAAATATCTTTCTAATAATAGACAATAATTAATATAGACAAAAGCATCATCACAGAAACCCTATAAATAGCAACATTGGTTAAGACATCTTTAAATTTACTAAGGTATCCTCTAACAGAGAAATAAAGTAGAGAAATATAATTTCATTAAATTCGTTTATCTACTGTTATGTGATAGCGACTGATATCGTCGTTCTCTTGGGAGAGATATATATATATATATTTGTATATGTAACGAAGGAAATATATACGAATGCAATTTATCGAAAAAAAATTCCAAAAAATATGGACGTGTCGAAATCGGGAACAAAGGTAACGAGTATGGATAATAATAATTAAAATAAAGTTTTCTTAAAAAACGTACATATATACATATATATATACATATATATATATATATATATATATATATATATGTATATATGTATGTACGTGTATGTAAAATTACTCGTGGAATAATTTTTTACAAAATATTCAATTTATATCAATGTTACTGGCAACGTTTCGGTGGATCTTTTTTTCCTTCCCTTTTTTTTTATTTTCTCTCTTTTTATAACAACGTGATATAAAAGGGACATATAAATCATAAAGAGCAATGAAAAATATTGAATTAATTTATAAAATATTTGTTTAAAATTTTTTCAACTTACTCTCATGCGAACTTCATAATCGGTATATCGTTTTTTACCGACGCCGTGTGTGATTGGATTAATCACATCAATTTCGAGAAAATTTGCGGGCGCAGCATAAGCGTCGTCCAATGTCTGTTTCTTAACGTTTAAACGCCTCGTTGCATCCACGGTAGTATCCGCCATTTCCTTAGCGAGAAAATTGATTAGATATTTAATGGCGAACCACCTACTATGTTAATTCGATATTCGTAGATAAGTAAATCCTTTTTCGATTGACAGCACTCTACAAGCTGACACAAGCACATTTGACACAATTCCTCGCTCTCGTGTGCGTTATGGCCGTGAACGAAGAGAAGATTCGATTTAAAGATGAAACTTTCTATTTTAGAAAACGCCATATTGATTCGCAGCGCTACGACGGTCGATCGAAGAACCAATGAATTTAAATTAATACACATTTTCATATGATACAAGAATATCGTTAATATAATATAAACAAAAAATCACGCGATCGAGATTAAAATTGAAGAATAAATTGTTCATTTTATAATATCAAACCGATCGTAAATTTTAACGAATGATCATTTTGAAAAAAATAAAAAAAATAAAACGTGTGCACTATTAATTTGTTACGTCGATAAATTACCGATCGAGTCAAGACAAGTCATTTCCTAGAATGATGCGCTCTTTTCAAAGATGTCGATTCCAAGAACAAAGTGGAAAATTCTAAAGCGAAGAAAATGAATTGATATAAACGATTAATGCAAAAAAGAAAAAAGAAAAAATATATATATATATATATAAAAAAAAAAGAAAAAGGAAAGCGAAAGGTAATTATAACAATCAAAGAATTTTCTTTTATTCAACGAACGAGACCTCCTAATTTGTAACTATTAATACAATTCCATCAGAGTTCGTAATGTGCATTAATACTATGTATATATGAAATAGTTGTACATATTAAAAAACTATTTTGTGTGAGCACACACATACATATATATAAATATATATATATGTATGTATATATATATATAATAATTAAACTACAAGATGAGATACATCAGCGGTGTAAACGGCGGGTGATAATCTTACGTCTTCAGAACGTGACATTGGTCGTTGACGTATATCACTATCTCCAGGCCATGCCCTTCCAGGGCTACGTGGTGCGACGGTGCATCTGGCGACCGTATCGACTGCTAAGCTGACGGTCGTTGGATCGTTCAGGCCATTGCTTTGAATTCTTCGTTGTGCAGCTATCGAAGCTCGAAGTGTTTTCCGCTTCTGCATAGATAAAATTGAAGGTTACGAATAATCTTGTAGGAGTATTTAAGGGCAAAGGAAATCCCTTTCGAAAAGAAAATGTTGTTCTTTTTTCTCTTTTTTTTTTTTTTTTACTTTTCTTTTCTTTTTCTCTTTTTCTTTTCTTTATATGATTGATTTAACATTATGTTAAAATATATATATATATATATATATATATATATATATATATATATGTATATATATATATGTGCACTTAGGATCGTCCGAAGATATGTAACAACGTTCGTCTTAATTTTGTATTTTCGTATTATTCACCTTCGTGCAATTATATTTTTATTTTTTATTTATCCATTTATTTATTTATTTATGCTCTCAAGACGATCCTACGTGTATCATGTCTCCTCGAGATGAGGGATAATAGTTTTATGAAATATACATATCTGCAACTAGTTTTACCTACAACTACTTCTTCATAATAATTTCTACACACTGTCAGTTGTGCAACTCGCTAATTATCACGTAATTATTATTACTAGGGTTCGAAGGGAAGTCCCCCGGGAAATGGACATGCCTCAGCGCAGCTACCTCGTCGTCGCTTCCTGAGGATTACTGACAAACACACATTTCTGAAGAAACGATGGAAATATATCAAACAACGAAATCGGCCGCCGATCGCTGTTTACCTCGATCGTTCCTCTCCATTTATCGGCTGCGTGCCTTGCCAGTTCCATTTTCTTCTGTTTTTTAGTTTGATGCCTCTTGTACGCCATCTCGATAATAATCAATCCGATACCACCGAAGATACCGACCGCGACCACTATGAACACTCCCGCCATATTTTGCAATCCGAGAGTGTTCGGAGTTTTTTCAAATTGTTCGCATTGTTGTAGATTCCCTTGGAGTATCCAAAGATTATCGAGACTTTCCATAAAACCACCTAGAAACAATCAATGGAGTTTCAAAGTTTACATTTGATGGATATATCATATACCATCGTTTTTTTCTTTCTTATTCAGTTAAAATTTCGCTTTTGATAAAATCATATTTCATCTATCTACTCTTATACTTGATGTCATTGCGTTGCTATTACTTTCATGAAAGTCTAAAATTGCCAGTGTCACGGCATCCGCCCAGGGTGAACCTTTCTGTAGGCCAATTCCGTAACCAGAACGACCAAATAATTCACCGGCAGTTACTAGCTCGCAATCCTGAGCTGCCTCGAATTCCAAACGTGAGCTATCCCAGATGAATGCCATTAATTTCCTAAATAAAGCATAAAAAGGATTTATTATATTGAACGCATTTAACTTGACGTTTAATTGAAAATTTATTATGGGATAGACCTCTAAAAAGTATACGCGTACCCAATTTTTATATCACGTATAGCATCTTCGGCTGTATCATAATTGTTAGCTTCCATTGTTCGATACATATTAGAGAGTTCAACTTGTCGCCTGAAATACATGTCCACTGCTGATCCCTTAACCGTAGCGCATGTTAAATTTTCCATAGTATTCCTGAGCTTTATAGTTATAAAACAAAATTTTCAAATATTATGCGTTTTGATTGTGCTGCTCTTTTTCTTTTTTTTTTTTTTTTTTTTTTTTTTTTAAGAAAATTTAATACGTCTACTTACTCGAGCATCATTGATACCAGTCAATTTTGTTTTAGGACGTTCCAATACAAGGAAGGCAGCCAGATTAGCTGTATAAGATGCCACGATGATCATAGCAAATCCTGCCCATACCATACCCAATACTCGTGCTGAAAAACTTCTCGGAGTACCTAAACATAATAAAATGCATAACCATCAAAATCTTTTCTAAGTAATCATTTATTTTTGATCAACATTTTTACATTTTTTTTTTTATGTATTAGGATCGTCCAATCCCAATATATCAATTACTGTATTTATCTATGATATTAAGAAAGAATCGTATTTACCTTCTCCAATTCCACTGTTCAATAATACTCCCCATGCAAACCAAACGGCACTCGAGAGATTGAGGGCATCTTCCTCGGTGCCGTCAGTATTAGCTAGTTTGAACCTCCCGAAAGGTGAAAACCGGTCGAGGAGGTACAGAACTAGCGCCACTACGTGCACCGAAACCATCACCAGGATCCAAAGGGTGTTACTGAATGGTTGTAAGAAAGATACCAGTGTTGACGATCTGGATGGCTGGAATCAAACAAAATTTTATCGATCTAATCATCTATTTTCTTTCGTTTTTTTGGGAGGGGGAGGGGAGGGAGAGGAATAGAATACAATGGGGGGAGGGGTTCAATGGGGTTCGATAGGGGTTTCAATGAGTGGAAGAGGATTCAATGAATTATTAATTCAATGGATATTAAATGTTTCTCTCTTTCTCTCTCTCTCTCTCTCTCTCTCTCTCTCTTTCTCCGATACCTTTTTTTCTAGTATAGTTATCCCCTGATATTTGAATGGCTTGCTGAATTCGATGAATTCAGCACGTTCAGGATTAATCGTCAATGGTGCAACGATCATATCTGCTCGTTCGTTCACCAATTCTCCGATTAGTCCTGTCCATTCTTTTTTCCCTCCGACTGTAATTAAATATTTTTTATGTTATACATATATATATATATATATATCATATATAATATATACTGTATAATATTATATACAATATTTATTTATTTAATATTAAATATTATATATAAAAAATTTATATATTTTATATGCATGTATGTATAATATCTATAATATATTAAAGAATTATTATTAGGAATCATACCTGAACTATTTTTAATAACATAACTGCCAAATTGACCATCCGGTGATAAGGCAAGATTATAAGTGAAATTGATAGTCTTAGATAATTCTTTCAACAAATCTACGCAATAACCTTTGCAACAATATATTTTCGAGTCTGTAAATCATATAGAAAAGGTTTCATTTATTTTTAGTATCGTTAATTAATTGTAAAATTAAACAGACACACATAAATTGTTTGATTAAATTGCTTACTCTCGTGATCGGTAACGTTGAAATGAGGACATGCTATTTCATCAGGCAGGCAATCAATTTCGCTTGCTTCACGTACGTAAACGAAAGGTTTCTCTTCAATTGTCAAAACCTTTAAGTGCGTTGGTATCATTAAACCTTCGGGTTTATTTTTTAAACGCCCAGGCCACGTGATATTCGATTCGTTCACTCTTAATCTCATTTTTGTTCCATTCTATTTCAGATATTAATACTGATTTTATTCATTTTATATATAATCTTAATGATAATTATATCAATATTTTGGATCTACTTACAGCTGGATAAAAGTATTGTCCAACCGAAACTTGCCGACTATCCTCATTGATGTTAATGATATCGTATTCAGCAAAAATACGATCGCCATTATCGTCGAAAGCAACTCTCCCAGTTTCTCCATGTGGTAAAACTTGTTGACGTATGTAACTAAATTCACATTATCGTAAATACGTACACTTTTTCTTTTTTTTTTTTTTTTTTTTAATATTAACCTTTTAGCTGATATTAAGAGAGCCAATATTATGGCTGATTTGTTTTCTTGAATTTAAATCCATTTGCATTACTTGAAAAACGTGAAAATTTTGACTTTGGCATCCAATCTTGTATATGTTAATCAAAATACAAATATTATATAACTTGCATTTCAATGTGTTACTTTATATACAGATATGGAATAAATGCATAATTGAGGACACCGAAACACTGCGGAATTGTGGAAACACGTTTGAATGCACTCCAATTTGCAGCTAAAGGGTTAAATAGTAAAAAAATATAATAATCACGTACTCAAAAAGTTTCTTTCCAGTCTCCCATATCGATCCGGAATCACCGCAATCCTTAGGAGCACTTGTGATCTCTTCGGTTTCATTCATTTCTCGTAAAGCAGAGACAAAAGCATATCTGGAAAATAAGTGTTATACCCTTGACATCAGAAGGCCAATAATCAGGCCACTTTTTTTTTTTTTTTTTTTTATTATACTTATGCACACAACACAATTTCTACGGGACAACGTTTCCATGCAGTAACATCCATGAGAGAAATCAGAGAGTCCTTTGATCTGTAATCAACATCGAGACATAAAAGTTTCCTTATCGAATGATGCTCCCTCATATCTCGTTGATACCTGCGTGATAATAAAAGAAATATTGTTACGAGGTGCGCTCAAGTTTTAAGGTATTCTAAATTTTTTTTTTCCTTTTTTTCCCCTGAGAAATTATTTACATCAAGAAGTAGAAATTATTGTTACTTATCAATAAATGGTCGACCTGTATACGTATATATTTTTTTTTTTTACAACATCCAGGCCACAATTACATGATCATTGTGAACGAATTTTTTTAGGGGTTCTCGGTCTGTTTTGCTTATTGTGAAAAATTGACATACTCTTCCATGAAGACAACACTTCTGTTCATCGAATGAGAACAGCCTTTCAAATCTTTGAAAAATAATTTCCGAATGATTCCTCATATTTTCTACTCACCTAATCTTGCACTTAATGATTTTTTTCTTGGCTTTTTCCAACGCCGAAGGATACTCTCTGTGTAATCGCTCATTTTTCAATTCTGTCGCTCTCTTGCATGAACTATTTTTCAATGAACAAAACAGACCCCCCAAGAATCGTTAACAGCGGTCATGCAATCATGGCGTCGAATTTCTGAAAACATATATGTACGTGTACAAAATGACTATGTTGATAAGTGAGACAATAGTTTCAACTTTTTAATGCGTATGCAGTTTTTCCGGAAAAAAAAAATTTGAAAACCTTGCAACTCGAATGCAACTCGTACAAAAAGAGAAAGAGAAAGAGAAGAGAGAGAGAGAGAGAGAGAGAGAGAGAGAGAGAGAGAGAGAGAGAGAGAAAGAGAGAAAGAGAGAAAGAAAGAGAGATGAAACGATGTGCAAGATAAATAAATTTAAGATGAAAGAAAAAAAAATATATATATAATAAAAGTATCAAGCTAACAAAAGAGTAAGGGATAGTGAAGATGATAAATTGAAGATAATCGAACGAAGAAAAATTTCAGCAATCACAATCCTTTCTTCTTTGTAGATTGGGGAAGCCCAGATGATCTCGAATTGTGTGAAGTGGAAGATTTTACCTAATCGTGAAACTATGTATACAGTTTCATGCATATACATGTAGGTGTGCCTATCGTGTGCGATCGCAAAAGGACTGACAGGCTGTCCTTGATGTGAGCCTTCTCTGCGCTCGCGTTAATTAATTTCAATCCAAGAAGACCTTCTGGTGCGTTAGGTGCATCCAATGCTTGCTCGGTAACAATCCAAACGTATCCAGCTCCGGTCATGTTTAATGATGCCGCATCCCTGAAGATTACTTTTGCATCTGTCTTCCTTTAAATTAAGCAAAGATTTTTTGTTTTGTTCTTTTTTTTTTTTTTTTCTTTTTTTTTAAATCATTTATTCTAACTTTATTTACATCGTACGATCAAACGATAATAATTGATTAATTAGATCACTTACGTTGCGTACATCAAACAGACTCTGGCTTGTGCGTTCTTCATATCCATCAAATGTTCCATAAAACTTTCAAGACCTGGCTCGAATTCTATTACGGATTCCACCTGTTCATTTTTATTTTTTTTTTTTTTTATTTTTTAAAGGATTGAAAATTTTCGATATTAGAAAATGTTTCACGATAAACAAAAGAAAAGGATAAATGGACCTACGTGTACTTTGATTTCAACGTCATCTTCTAAATTTTGTGATGTCGTTTGGAAACGTCCGAGCAAAGCACGACCGTCGGTGTCCGAACTGTGTATGAAGATGATCTTCATGTAGTTAAAATATTTCAACAATTCTACCCACACATCGGCCTGATGAGAATATGGTGGGACGGTACGTAAGAAAGACACGTGAATATTCTGAAAAATAATTTTGAAAAAAAAAAAATATATATATATATGTCTGAAAGAATTAATTTTATATATATGTATATATATATATCCTAATAAGGTATGATCTAAAGATCGACGTACTTTATCGGAAAATGCTGAATCACGAGAGGATATACCAATTACAGGTATATGGTAAAAACCGCTGGTATAGGAAACAGCAGCTGGTGACAAATCACCTGTTAAAGGATGAGACACAACTACTGCGTAAACTTGCTTAGCGATTAGAGATTTACAAACGCTTAGAGCTGTCCTGATTGGATTGGAATCCATTTCGATGACAGTGTGTTGATAAGTTATACCCTTGTTCACGTATTGTGAATCAAAGTTCAAATGCTAAAATATAATTATTTAGGTCTGTTCCAGAGTAAAACAATTAATTATTATATATATATATATATATATATATATATATATATATATATATGTATATATAATAATTAATGTCATAATGAAATATGTATGCTCACATCAACGGTGGCACCAAAATAATTTTTGCTTTCATTGTTTGAAAGGACACCACCGATCATGAATAAAGTTGGACTGTTGTAACTGGATGGTCTTGCGGCATGACTGTAGTCTTCCAAAAGCATCAGAAGACAAATCAATGCGATCATTTTACCACATTTTGCCATTGCAATGATAAACAAATTGAAATATCTAAGAAATGTTATATCGTATTAAAAGAAATGTAAGAATTTGCGTACACTTTAAACGAATCTTGACCTACCTTAACGTATAACTATAATCCTTGGAATTTTTCTTTTCTCTTTCGGAAGAAAGATAAGAGAGTGAGAGAGAGAGAGAGAGAGAGAAATAGATAGATAGAGTGGGAGAAAGAGAGAAAGAAAAAAGAAAACGAAATCAAATGTTGCAAAACTAAACGACGACGA